TATATATATATATATATATATATATATATATATATATATATATAGAATTGTTTTAATGATTTATTGGCTCATGTTTTATACTAATCACAAAAAAATATTTAACTGAAATGTTATATTACCTATGAGTTCTATCTCTTTCACGTGCGTTAGCTTGATATCGCTGTTTATTTGATTCTTCTTTTTTACGTGTATTCATTGTTTAAATATTTATTTTAAAATGATGATATAAATGATTTTTTTTTTCAATTCAGTCGAACACTTTTTAAATTCTTGTCCAGTCGCGGCAAGAACGCCTTTATGAATGAATATTACTCCTATTTCCTTTAGTTCCTCCAGTTTATGGAAGTCCCCTCTCATGTGTTACCGCCAATCCCCACCCCAACCCTTGCTGCAACGGAACATATGTGAAATACATGTGCATGGGGGATCAGGGCCGTGTGGATCGTATGACAACGTATAAGAAGAGAACACACATAAGTGTTTTAAAAAATAAAGTTTTTGTCAAACGAAGACAACCAAAATTTAACTTAAATATATACAAATTTATTCAGATTAAACAAACAAAAGAAATATAAATTCATTATTAAATAAATAAATACGTTACGAAAGTATATAATTGAAAATGATTAGAATTAATTATATAGATTTATTCGAAATCATTCATCAATTAATATTTGTTGTATATGCTATGAATGACGTGAATAACGAAATATATTTAACTCTTATGAATATGCGCGAGTACTTGCGGACGCCAAGACTCCCACGTAATATGGTCAGGAGTTGAGTTTCACATTACACTCAATAAAAACAAGCCGTTGACTGGTAGTAGGGCGCGGAAAACAAATTCCATCTGTAAAACTAATTAGGACACTTTCATACAGTTTCCAGACGGTGACGAATAGTTACTAACAACTTGATGTTTCAATTTTCTCGCCGTCGTGCTTGTATAAACTATTTTTTTAATGAAAATTAAATTAAAAAAAAATATTTTTGTTCATTTCTTATTTTTCATATTAAATAAGACGTGAAAAAATATTATTGTACTGTTATAAGAAAGTTTTAATCATCCAAATTTCATTATTTTTCAACATTTGAATAATATATTTTTATAAATATAAATATTTATATTTATTATATTTTTATGATATATATATATATATATATCATAAAAAATGTATTGCTGAAAAATAAAAAAATTTATTACTAATATAAAATATTATATATCATTAAAACAATTGTTTCATTAATATTAATTCTAGTATATACTTGTATAAATGCATTTATAATATAAAATAAAAGAATGTTTTTAATAATGTAATAAATAAAACTACATTGTTTTATATTCTTCTAAATAAGCAATAAAGAATAACGCGATCGAACGTTTAAATCGAAAATAATATATTTACATTACACATTAATAATATATAAAAGGAGAAAAATATAAAATTCAATTGCACGTTTGTATGAAATATTTACTTTGTTAAATAACTAAGTTACATTGATTCAATTATAGCGTAATTTACAATTCAAATGGTCATTAGAATAGAGAAGATATTTCGAAAAATCATAAAGAATCATGCCAAATTTCCGATATTAATATCTTCATTTATCGTATGATTCGTTATTTAATTTACAATGCAGATCATGATTAATTAAACATTATGCATTCACGCTCAACAATTTCCTACAAACGTTTAACTTTGGTCACTTTGTTTTAATGTTCACTACATACCAGGCGTTCGCGCTACTGTTACCAAAGGCCCATACATATAGTCTCTCATTAATCTTAAGCAATACTTATAGAAAATATACAAATATCTGTGAGAGAAATTATGTAATGATTAACTTAAATTATTTCATATACACGATAAATATTGAAAGTCTAAATTGTCCCAGTGATTATAAACAAGAATGGGCACACACAATAATATAATAAAAATGTAAATTTTATTCTAATGTTTAATATAATACTTTACTTGTAAAGAGCTTGATATTAATGTATAAGATTTAACGAAATAATCAAAGAAAGGACAATAAAAGTAATTAAAAATTAGAAATTATTAAATTTTATACATACATAAAAAAAATATATAAAAAAAAATTTTAAAATATATTTATTAAAAGTAGTAGTTCCTTTATAGTCTTCACAAATCCAGATCCATCAAGTTTCTCCAGGTCAACATTTGGGCATTCACACCATTAAGATAAAATCGATTGACATTAATCAATTAACCGTACGCATTCCTCAAATAATATCTTGAAAAAAAAAAAGAAAAAAAAAGAAAATAAATTTACACATTAAAGCACTATTATATATCATTTTCATTTCTAAGGTACTAGAATAAAATCTAGTACTTGATGAGTTTATCACTACGTTATTTACACTAACAAGTTACATTACGTAACACTTTAAGTCTCATTATGTCACTAAAAGATCGTAAAAATAATTTATGATCTTAAATACAAGATCAACGATCATAAACAAATGTTGCCATTTGTTCTTGCACCATACTGGCACAGTATATTGTACCATATTTGTTTTGTGCAATTAATTGCATCCCTATTTATAAAGGATAATCATTATAATATAAATACAATTATGTTTAAGGGCGAGATCCACGTGCGGCTTCTTCCAACGCACGCACTTTAAGCTCACGCTCACGTTGTTGTTGTTGTCTAAAACACATCCTTCGTTAATCAAATATATGTTTGATTCATTTATTAAATCATACGAAGGAATGTATTAATATATATTTTAAGAGACAAACCTTAGATATTCTTCATGATGAGCCACGAGCGATGCATGTGGAGGAAAACGCTCACGTTCCATCATGAATTGGCGTTGCAATTGTTCATGATGCACTGCCATATCTGTATAAGGTCTTGCCAGAAGCTCCGCTGGATGAAGGCCTAATGCTGGATCACGGGGCATCAAGCCTGGTCGAGGATAATTGGAACCAGCAGCAGCTATACAAATAATAAATATTAAAACAAATGAAAAGTATTTCAAATGATTAATCATTACATGAGGCTAATATATATACACTTATTAGATATGGATAAGCAAATATAGAAAAATCTATTAAAAGCATGCATTATTGAAAATAAAATGATCTATTATATATGGTTAGTCAAAAGAAACAAGACACTTGAATATTTCTGTTAGATTTAAAGATACAAAATATGACTACATTAGAATTAGACTGGCTTAAACGGACACACATGGTCATTATATTATTTTTTTCTGTGTTTTCAAAGATCACCAATGTTTTTTCGAATAGAATGGCATATTTTTTCCTACGCATAATATTATGCTTACAATAATGTAATACAAAAAATACAACACATGTTAAATCAATATATTACAGCTTCAGAGAGTCATTTTGAACATATACAAATATCGAAAAAAAATGATATCATGATCATGTACGTTCGTCAAAGTCATTCTAATTCTGATGTAGCCATACTTTGTATTTTTAAATCCAACAGAAATATTCAGGTGTCTTGCTTTTTTTGATTCACCCTCCTATATATATATATATAATACTTATTTACGAATATTTAATACTGTCCTTATATTTTTATATTTATAATATATTGGATAAATATTTATTATCAAAAACATCTTTAAAGTTATTTTGATATTATATATAGAAAATATTCATTGAACGATTAATTATTTTTACTTTTTATCACATACACACACCCAATCATACATATTTATGTATACTACTCTTTTATAACACTCACGCGTACACTCGCACTTGCACCTAAATATGTATAATGTGAATAACTGAAAAACTGTATAACCGAAACAGCTGCTATTCATACTTGGAATAAAAGACTAGAGTTAAAAAAGGGTCGAAAGATTTAATTGCCAGGACATGATGGCACGACAAAGTATAGCGATAGATTATGAAAACTTATTGTCATAGATGTTTGTCAAAAGGAAACTCTTAAGAAAGACTTAGAACATCCTGACTCTGGCACCTACCAGGCAGGGGGAATCCAGCTGCAGCCGCAGCTGCCTCCTGCTGTTGCTGAGCCTGTTGCTGGGCCTGCTGTTGTCCCGGATGTAAGTGCAAGTGCGTATGCGCATGCGTATGCGCGTGAGTGTGAGCGTGATACTCGGGTGAGATGCCAGCCATCTGCAACCGGACTATTGGGTCAGCAGCTAGAGCCAACCGCTCGTCCAGCTGGCCATGGTGATGAGCCGCTACGGGATGGCCAGCCCCTCCACCCGCTGGCCCCCCGCCGGCTGCAGTCGGTATCCCTAAACCCGATAGTACCTCGATCAAATATACCATTTTTGTTTTATGGTGTAAAAATAGTCAACTACACTATCTTCTATCTTTCACATATACATTCCACTCGTCACTGCAGCACTTTGCATTCCTCCAAGATACTTTCATTTAACCGTTCAAAAGAATATCTTTATAAATAATTACAGAAAGTAACTGGCTAAATTCGAGACGAGCAGATATCGATAAAATGATTAAAAAAAAACACAAAAAACAATAATTACCTAATCTTTCTAGTCGCTCTCGTTCTAATTGGCTCGGTCCTGGCGGAGCTCCATATATACCAAATTGGTGCAAAGCTTGTGGTGGTCCCGAAGGTCCTGCGAGACCTGCAGCCGCATATCGTCGGTGAATTTCCAACCAATGCGGATCAACAGGAGCTGGCATTGGTCTGGGCGTTCCTTTTAATAGTTCCTCCTTCAAACGATCATTTAATTCTCTCTCACGTAGCTCCCTTATCTCGCGTTCTCTCTTCTCACGTTCTAAATGTTCTAGTTCTATACGTTCCCTCGCAGCCGGACCATACATAAAATGGATCATCGACTCGGGTGGAGCAGGGTGTCTAGCAGGTGAAAATGCTGCGTGTGGTCTTGCATATTCAGAAAGTTGTCTTAGAGCTGGTGTATCTGTATAAGACCCTGGTCTTGCTCCATACCTATCATATGGAGATACAACAGGTTCGAGTGGACCTCGACTAGGCGGCTTACAAGTTTCAGGTTGTTTTTCTGGAGTTGTCATTTTTCTAGCCTGTTGTGCAGCAACTCTATCGCGTTCTTCTCTTTCTCTCTCTGCTTGTTTCCTTGATCTTTCTTCTCTTTTTCTAGCTAATTTAGAATCAGGCACAGGTTTAAACATTAAGTCTGTCCTAGTACATGAATTATTTTCGCCTCGATTCCAATGTCGTAAAAATATTGCAGATTGTGATCTGTGACATTCAGAATCTTCGATTCTTGGTTCAGGAGAAGGTCCACGTGGACTTGGTGGTTCCTCTGGTTCTGGTTCACCAAGATCCTGTTCCATCTTTGGTTCTTGTACAACTGGTGGTTGTGGTTGAGGAGGTCGGTGATGGTGGTGTACAGAACTAGTCGATGTTAAACACGTTGCTGAAACGAGCGACGGTTTACGCTGAGTATTATGTGAACTGTGTGATGACGAGTGACTATGAGAACTGTGAGAGGAGATGGTTAACAATTTGTCGTGATGTAAAGTGGTTGCCTGGTGCATACTAGAAGAATGGTGATGGGTGGCAATAAGATTTTCTCCTTCTTCTCTGGTTGTT